AAGTCAGTGCTCATGTGCTTGGCTTGAAGGTCTGGGGGGAGCACAACATGCTTTACTGGAAACGTGGAAGCGAGCTCCCAGACATTCTCAGACACATGACATGACGCAGCGTGTTCTCGTTATGTGGAAAGCTGGTGGGACATTTTCCTTTGGGCAGTTGGATCCGCATTGCAACTGCATTTATCAAACGTAGGGTGACTGCTGTCACTTCCGGCTGGAATGACAAAACAAATCCGGAGGGATAACAAAACAAATAATGCTCCATTTAGATACATGATCGTGGAAGTCATTACCAGGGTGCGTCAAAACGACCCCATACACAGTAAATGGTGTGTTGATGGATGTGAATTTGACATCTGAGTCTATACAAGCCGGATGTGAATTTGACATCTGAGTCTATACAAGCTCCCTTGCAATAGGAGGGTCTCTTGAAATAGATGGAACTGTCATGGAAGACTTGTGTTGGTCATGTCCCGAGAAGGATACACAACATATCAACCTGTTGGAATTGGACACCGTTATCAAAGGAATAACCGTGGCCATTCAATGGAATGCAAAGGTGTTGCATTTGTTCACAGATTCCGCATGTGTGCATAAGTGGATAGTAGACACTCTTACAGGGAAGGCCAGGATACATACAAAGGCTGCAAGCGAAATGCTCATTCAAAGACGGCTAGACACACTGGGAAAGTTGGTAAGTGAGTACAACTTATCAGTGGATATACAGCTGGTTAGATCAAATTGGAACAAGGCAGATAATTTAACAAGGGTATCCCAGAGATGGCTTGACACTGTTAAGAAAGCAGTAGAGCCAGTAGGACATGTCTGTGCAACATCAGTGAGCGACCGTAACTCAGATCTACTAAAATCTGTGCATTGCCAAAGTGGACATCCCAGTGTAAAACGGACTATATTTCATGAGGCAGATTGATCCCTCTATATCCAAAGCTGCTGTCAGGGCAGTGGTCAGAGAATGCAAGGAGTGTCAGTCCATTGATCCAGCACCTGTGCAATGGCCAAAAGAACAACTGAATGTGAGTAAAGTGTTGCACCGTGTTGGAATGGACATCACCCATCATAATGGAACTCACTATCTAACCCTGATTGACTGTGGCCCAACCCAGTTCACTCTTTGGCGACGTCTGTGTCGACAGGATTCCGCAAGCATGATGGACCACTTGCAGACGTTGTTCTTTGAACATGGACCTCCGACGGAACTCCTCATTGTCAATGACACTACATTCAGCAGTGGACTTTTTAAAGATTTTATGGATTCGTGGGGAGTCCACCTCAGATTTCGCAGTGCATATGTCCCATCAGGAAATGGCATAATCGAGTGATGCCATCAGAGCGTCAAGAGAATCGCTGCTAGGAAGCAGTGTTCTATAATGGAAGCAGTGTATTGGCACAACATTACCCCTAAAGACAATGTATCACCCTCAATTGTGCCAGCCAACATGATTTACCAGTACAAAGTCCGGCTAAGAGGCATTGACGTGACGGAATCAACTGAACAGATAAAAGAACGAGCACCATATGAACTTGGGCATGCCATTAAAATCAGTAACTCATGCACTGTGCTGGTTGATGGAATGCCAAGTCACGTAAAAGACTTGCGTCCCTATGTAGGTTCAGATACTCCAGCAAGTGATACTAGCAGTGAGTGCTCAGGAAGTGAAAAAATAATCACCATCAGAGTTAGGGCTAGTACCTCTTCAGATGGCGAAGACTACATGAGGTTGTCAGATCAGAAGAATCCTCAGAAGACGAGTCTTCAGAACATACCACACAATCCTCTGCAACAGTCGCCCTGCTCTGGAGAAGCTCAATAATAAAGAGGTCCGCCCCTGAGTGTCACTTATGTGACAGGGGGAGGGTAGTGAAAGAGATAATCAGCTACCTCAAAAAAGAGTTTGTGTTTAGGGTGCGATCTGCTGAAGAAAAATTAACAAAAAGTAGTTAGCAAAAATCTACTTTAAGGACCAGAATCTATGCTAATGTTCTTCCCTCCCCTGAATGGCATGACACATCAGAAAGATCTCTCGGTGAACAAAAGCCATTGTTTTTCGCTTATGGGCATTAGATTTACTGAGATTGGTGGATGAACACACGTTTTTGTTGGTGAGAAGTGAAGGTTGGATCTGTGACGTTTGTCGTTTCTACATTGCCTGTTACGACGGACTATGGTTTGAACTGTAATTTGGCTACAAGTGTTGCGGTCGAGAGAGAAGAAATCTATTGCAGACGTTTGTTGCTACTATAAGTTGAGTTTTTTTTTCTTTCTTTTTCTTTACAATTACACTACAAGAACTGAGTGTTTCTAAACACTAACAAAATTCTACTCAAAGAACTTTTTAGGCGCTCAGAGAAATATTTCGAGCAAGCCATTTTTCTGTTAAGAACATTTTCTTTTCCCTTAAAGGACATTTTCTCTTTTCCCTTTCTTTCACTCCTAATTGTCTTTATCCCTTTACCCATTTTTTCTGTATATGTAAAAAACCACTTTTATTGTTACACACCGAGCAGGAGTTTTTTTCTTTATTTGTCCGCACCTAAAAGAGAGAGTTTGTTCACTCCAATCTTCTTGTTTTTTTTTATTCGCGTTTTGTCGCAATTTTTTTAACCTCAACCCTTGGATTCAGGAAAGCCAGGACAGATTTTCCAGCAGTGTACATATGTAAGCAGTGAGTTGATGAAACTAAAATGTATATTTTATTTCTAAAACCTTCACCTATCTTTGATATAAACTAAAAAGATAGTACACGCATTTGTTAGAAATATGAAATGAACGCAGAAAATTTGTCTACTAAAAAAGCTGTATTGGTTGAGATTTGTTGACTCGTGTCTATTTTTCCACCCTATTTTTCTACAAAGATAAAATCTTTTCTCTTCATCTTGCTAACAGAAACTCCCACGTTTGTGTAACTAACATATGTGAATAGTGGTGTGCTCAAAACATATTGAAAGGACAAGTAAAAACTGCTTTCAAAGTTTGTTTGTTTGTTTTTTTTTGTTTAATTTAAAAACCTAAAGCATCAAAGATTGTTAACAAGTAGTCGATACTGTTCATTCCTAAAAATAAAATCAACTTAGTAAGTAAACTAGTGTCCTAGATTTATACAAATTGAAAGGAAAACTAAGTGGAGTGTGTCTCTAGTACACAAATTATTTTAGGAAAAAAAATTGCCTTTTAATTTTTTGTATCCAATTCTAGTAGAAAAAATGCTACAATTTAAGCACTTCATATGGTTAAGAAGAAGAATGCGATTCAAATTGAAATATAGAAAGAAAGAAATGGAGTTTTACGTCGGAATTTATTTAATGAGGAATTGGTGTTATGCTTTTCTTATGAACCAAAAAAAAAAAAAAAAAAAAAAAAAAAAAATGCTCATCTCGGTTTACTTTCTCGCAACGTTTCGGCCGTTGTGAAAAAAAAAAAAAAGCCGGAGTGTAGAACTGCTGAATCGTTGTGAGTACAAAGGTGAACATGCTGGTTCAAACAAGAAGAGATTTTGTTTTATCGACACACGCAAATTCGGTACTGAAATAAATGAAAACAATTTAAGTCAAATCCAAATGTACTTTAATTTATAAACGAAGATAACATTAAACCTTAAGGCCTAAAATAAAATAGTCATCAAAATAAAGAAAAAACAAAAAAAAGTTCATAAGAATGTTTCCAGTAGATCAAGCAAGGGGGGGTTTTGTTTTTCTTTTAAGTCTCACTCACTCCAATTTCCGGCCAAATAAAAAATTCGCAGTTCAGTTTCAAATTACTAAATTCACATATCATTTTTATTTCTTCTTTACAAGTCAAATCAAAGAATATTTCAGCAAAACTGTCATTGTATCTTTTCCTTCAAGATTTTTTTAAAACTTAAGTAAACTATTTTACATGATAATCGTAAAGAATGAATGAGGTTTCTTTGCTATTCTTAAGGAATTATAAGAACATTACATAATTTCATAGCACATTTTTTGGTTAAAGAAAAAAAAACTACAAGCGATTGATTAGTAAAAATACGAAACCACATCTGCGCTAATAATGGAGAGATTTTTAGGGTGGGTTCTTACTTTCAGGGTCATTATAAGTACAGTGTAAACCGGATATAAGAGAAACCCGGATATAAGAGAGATTTTCTCTGGTCCCAAATTAGAGCCTGTGTTAATGTATAAAAGAGACCAAACCCGGATATAAGAGACTTCTTCTCCGGTCTCTACAACTCTCTTATATCCGGGTTACACTGTACACCATTTTTTATTTTGCATTTTCCGCGAGTTTTAAATAAGCGGTACTTTTCAATTCTGACAGGAAGAACATTTTTCTTCCCCGAACTAAAATCCCATTGTTCTTTCAACAAGAAAAATAGTTAAAAATATGAACGAAGATCTATTTTTTTTTTTATATATAACTACTATTGAGAAAAAGAATTAAACTTAAAGTAAAAATTAACCGCTAAATTTATAAAAGAAAAACGAAATAGGTCTTATTCTCTTATTTTATTTTTCAAGATATGACTCTTTCGAGTCGAGAAACACTAAAAATGGCATATTCACTTTTTTTTCTCTTAGTAATACATTGATAGTGTTACAGTGAAAAAATGTTAGTACTCTCATCTCAACTAAAATCAACCCTTTTATAGTGGTCGTTACGGTTCAATATTTTGTGTGAAGCAGGTCTCGATAACGTGTAGGATTTCTTTTCTTTGTTTTTATTATTCATTTTTCTGTGAGTTTGTTTCTCCAAATAGAAAGTGATCAAATTGAATGAAATTCACAAAAGAAAAAAATACTAATAAAAAAAAAAGTAAATTCTGTTAATTTTTAGAGATTAAACTACGAAGAACTCCTTCAGCTTAAATTAATTTTATTTCATTTTTAAAACAGTGCTTCAATATAAAAAAATTATGCAGAGATTAGAGACTAGTTGTTATCGTAGAAAGAAAAAAAAATAGCCATAGAGGTCGATAGGTAAACAAGGTATATCTGTTAAAACTCACCTCATCCAGGAATTTAGTAATGTCGTAGACTTTATTATCAATAATCATCCAAGTAGAAGAATTATCTTTATGTTGTTGTACTTCATGTAGCCGGTAAACTTTTGTCGGCGTTTCACCACAGCCATCCTCCGTCTTGGTGGTCATGGTTGCCAACTACCAATTACACCGGTTCGCAAAGAATCATGGGAATGACAGTTATACCGTCAATACTTCTTTTCTAATGACGACCTTTTTTTATCTTTGTGTTATCAAATGCACACGTCATTCTCCAGTTGTTCTCTTAACAGATAAAACAAGATAAATAATCTTACTTATTCATATTTGAATAGTAATTCATACTACCTAGTTCAAAACTTACAACCTAGGTATTTTTAGTGATAACAGAGTAGGCTCCCTTTAAAGAAAAAGGAAAAAGCTAAAATGTTTGCGACATATTTTATTTCTTTCACAGTAACAGTTCTTTAGAACAGGGGTTCTCAACAGGGGGTGAATTTGGGATTTTCAGCTGTGAATTGTGACCAGAGTAAGTTAAGTCGGAGGGAGCAATTATAGAATTAGGCCTATCTGGCCTGTCACCTTGAAAAGGAGGTGGGGAGTATGGCATTCTGACAAATGGGGAAGTGTGCATGGGTCAAGCATGGTTGATAACCCCTGCTTTAGGATATCTGTCAGCTTTCTTTGACTATTATTAAATTCAGATTTCGCCATTAATCTTTAATTGAGAGTTGTTTTGTGAGTTTTTTGGATAAATAATCACTGAACAGATGTTTATGAACTCTACTGATTACATATCGCCATCCTTTAAGAAATTAAGCTAGTCATTGATCCAAGGTCGTCACAACGCACTTTGGCATTCCTCCTGTTAAAATGTTATTTCCTGATTCAAAATTAATATCTGGGATGCTATTTATGAGATACATAATCAAGAACTGTACAGAAATATATTTTTTAGTGAGTGTAGCTTAAAGTTAGAAAACAAGGTTAGAATCTAAGAAGGTTACATTTTTTTCACGAATCGGTGTCACTGGACGCCTGACTTACTTGTGGTATTGCATCCAGACTTAGATAAGATTAGTAAATAAATAACAACTCTTGTTTTTCTGAATTCGTGTTTTATTTCTACATTCGTAATGTAAAGATGTAAATTACACTATTACATTACTAATAAACAAAATATTCTAAAATATTGTAAAAATAAAATTGAAAATAATATCTAAATCTGTGGTACTCTGTTTATATTGTCATGGCGAACGAGATATTACTTCAGGATTTTTGACTTTTCTTCGCTGCATCACCCCACTTTCTTCTATGCAAGTACAACTGACTTGTTTAGATTTTATAATCAACCACTTTTTTCTTAGTGGATTGAACAAAATTGCTATAGACAAGCGTATGGTTGTAAGAAAGAAATACGACAACAGCAGAAATAGATTTACGTGATTTATTTCAATAGGGACGTGTGGTTTTGGGACAGCTACTTTGTGGTATAGTTCATAAGCCGGCTGCCGACCTGGGTTGATCTCTCATAGTAGTTCTCACTGGTTGGCGTGGCTCTCCTCCTGCTGACTGCTGCTGACTGACCGTGACAGGTTTCTTCCCTGACCTCCTGTTGACTGCTGTTGTACTTCCCCGTGTGACCTCTTTTATGGCGTTTTTTATGACCTAACAGGCTCGAAAAACGACGCGAGTATAATTAGAAGAGAAGCATTTTTATTGGTCGAAAAATAGAAACACTTTAAAATATTTTATTTTTCGACCGGAATTCGTGCGTCGGGCTTATGCGTAGACGACGATAATGGCCATTTTGTGACGGGGCCTTGTCCCGTTCACATCCGGCTCTCGCTCTTAAGTATGTTAGTTTATTTGCCTGCAAATCAGCCGAGATATGCCTTATTTTATTTTATAACAAAATCTACTCCTCTTGAACCTTTCATAATATTTTTTATACATTCTCTAGCAGCTCAGTATTCAATTTTTAAGCATCAAGCTCGACGATGTGACTACACATACCTATCATCATAAATCTGTGACCTTTCCCTGCTCAACGATCGAAAAAGAGGAAGAGGAGGAGGAGCACAGGCCCCTGGTCCCTGTGACCAACTTGCTTGGACGGGTTCTGTATTATGACTGCCAACTGGTCGATATATCAGATTGACCTTTCGAACATTTTCTGCCAACCTAACTTACCAGGATTCTGCTGACTTTAAGTGCATGATACCTAACTCATCTGCATTATTAACTATTTCACAGTTGTCTTATTTTGTTCAACTATACCGGTCAGTATCCTCCATTTACTTAATTCATTGTTTATTGTTCATGTTGAATTGTCATCTCTTTTCCGTTCAACCGCAACACTATTATCCCATTCAATTTTTGTATTGTATATATTATGTAAATAAATTTTTATATTAATTTAAGTTCCTCGTTTTTTGTTGTACTTGTTTGGTCCTGTCAGATTTACATTATTTATTTTTAAATGTTTGCGGGACTCCTGTGACTCATCTTTATCAGGGCGCCACAGACCGTATCCTATATTATTCACCCCTCCAGAGGGTCCGCAACAGTATTTGGAAAAAGGTATCGTCTTTACTAACAGGTTAAGTTATAACAGTTTTCCTTTTGGGAAATTATCATTATTATTTCCTTGGATTTCTGTTGCATGCACATTTCCTCCCGGGTACCAACAAGAGACCTAAGGTCTCTGGTATCAAGAACTTTCACTCGAGAATACAAGTCAAAGTCCATGAAGAGTAACATCAACATGTTTTAATACTATTGCTCAACCAATACAAGGTAGAGGCTGAGTGAATGCAGTTGCTGTAAGGGCTTAAATGGAGGAAGTAATAAGTGTATAAAAAGTAATGATCGTGGAAATATCCTTTCAGAGTTACTTCAACAAAGTAATTTCTGAGGAAGAAATTGCCTGAGTGGAACTTCCTCCTTACCAATGGAATACAAAGGGAATGGGGATGGTTCGAATTTGTGTATGTGGGATATCGAGTCCTAGCAGTGAAGTAGCTCGTCTGAACATTAACGTCTGAACAGGCCTCAAGTGTAATGAAATACCAAAGCGATAATGAAATCCTTCAAATCCAAATCACTTTCTGAATTAATTCCTTTAACCCACCATATTCTCCAAGCTTTTGTGTAAGAGTAACCTTCAGTTCTCGGGTTTACTTTTAAACCAGCTTAAACGGTACACATTGTTTAAAAATGAAAATTAATGCAAAACGTTGTCTTGAGCAGTTGAATTATCAGAATGAATCTTCATGGGGCAGTGTATAAATTGTGTCAATTATAGATTCGAGTTAATTATGAGCGTATAAATTGGTTCCTACTAACGAGTCGCACGATTCATACATTTGCCTCACTGGTGGGGTTGTGGACTTTAAAAGTTCTAAAGTTTACACTAGGTTTCAATCGATTGAGGATCACACAGAACATGACTTTAATGGGGTGACTGACAGATTTAACAGTTCTGTAATTTTACCCGAGTTCCCCTTTTGGGTTAAGATAACACCAGTGATTGAATTCATTTCTTAGGCGATTTCTTAGATCATCTGGCAAAATCGTTCTCAAAACCTTTGTCGTCGCTTAACCACCGCGTCTCAGCAGTCCTGCAGGAACCTTGTCCACTCTTGAGACGCTTCGCTGTTGCTTCTACTTTTCGTTCACCAGAGAATGACTCTTCTCGCTTTCTCTGATAAATTGTCTCTCTTTGAGTACGGAGGCATCTATCCAGAGCTTATAATTATATGAAAAATTGCCAGGTTGGAAAAAAAAAAAAAAAAAAAAAAACCTTTAATTTCAAATAAAATCAAAATGCCTCCAAGCGTAGTATTGTATGTCTCTCATCCCAGATATTGACAAAATAGAGTTTTCACTTAGTGTCCTTCAAAGAAGCCAAGTGATTCAACGGGGGATGATCGGAGAGATTAACTCATAGCCGGGGGTGGGGATCCGTTATTCACTCAAACAAAAACACATGGGCGATCTAGTTGCGCCTACGATGTGCACGCATCCGACTTCTACGTCCCAACCGAACCACGTAGTGCATTGCACGCAGCGCACCACAATATCTCTACAAAAATCCTCTCACATGAATATATATTTCTATTTAATACAAGAAAATATCCCACTTCAACAAATAAGACAATGCGACTGCTAACTTGACTCTGATAATAAACTGATACTGTAATGTCATTACAAGTTTCTTAAAGAAACATATTGCCAGTCACTTTCTCACTCATAGCAGGTTTGTAGTTTGTTGAAGAAGGGATTCTTCTCCCTTTTTTTTCTGGGCTAAATTGTTCTGTATTTAAACATACATAAAGCCATGCATGTGTTGATTTCACTTATTTTGAAATTTTAAGTCATTGATCCGAATGTCTTTACAATTGATAACTCCTTTACGTTACAATCTCACATTGAATTCTCTAAAATGAAAATACCGAGCCCCTTACGAAAAGCATAACAATATTTTGAAAGTGACTGAACATTTTCCAATAACTTATTCTTCTTTTATGTGACGTATCTCTTCGACCAGTATCCAACAGATTCGCTAGATCAAATTTCACTATCTACTTCCGGCCTCACTCGTCATCGCAACCGTGACCTCGGTGAACCAACTTGCCGACGAAACTTACCAGGCCTTATGATGAATCAACCCCGTCAACAACAAAGCACTCGTAATACTACAGATACGCACAGGCCTCTCTCGTCGTCACCACCATGACCTCGCCCACCGATCCGCTACCCACACCCGGCCTTACCAATAACATCTTTACATTTGATCACTTCCCTTACCAACAACTAAAAAAAACACAATATATGAACGATTTTCACACAATTGTGTATATATTCTGAAAATTTGATCAATACATGCTGTTGAAATTTTAATCCTTGTTTGTTCTTTCTTTTTCAACCATACGCTGGATATTCATTTTGGGAGACGTTAACAAATTCGTCTATTTACAACGATGAACCACGAAAAAATAATCGATCTTTGTGACCAATGTCTAGAAGCAGAAAAAGAAAGAGAAAGAAAGGGGTTGCTGTCTCTTTTTATACGCTGCTGCGAAGTATTTTGATTCGTTCCGCGGAAGCCTACATAATCTCTATTTTTGGCCACGAAAATAAGTGTG